GAGTGAGAGAGAGAGTGAGTGAGTGAGTGAGTGAGTGAGTGAGTGAGTGAGTGAGTGAGTGAGTGAGTGAGTGAGTGAGAGAGTGAGAGAGTGAGAGAGTGCGTGAGGCAGGGAGGTAGCAGGGAGTGCGGGACGAGAGCGGACATCAGACTCAGACCCATGTTTAGAAGGTCGCTGTATGCCCTTGCAATCAATTTGCTAGCGTCGCGCGGCGCATGCCGGTTATGCAGCATCTGTCACTAAGGCAAGCGGGATACATTCCCAAGGTGAAGTATTCCAAGGTGGAAGGTGGAAGGGTGTGCGCAATCCTGGATCTGCAGAAGCATGGTGCCTGTCGCCAGTATACTGGGCGGGCTGCCAGCTCGAAGGATGAAGCGCGGCTTTTTGCGGTCGAGGCACTTCTGGAAGATAATGCCATGACGGCGGCATTGAACAACCTTGGGATTCCGCGGCATGCTGAAAAATCAGTAGATTTCATTGCCGGAAAGAGGCGATCCCACAAGCATTCCCAGCATGACACATGTATTGCAAAAGGTACCTCGTCGGGTCAGTGACTCATACTCGCGGCGGCTTAGCATGCAAAGCGTGGATGCTTGCGGACATGTTTCCATGGATGACCTCTGTCTGCAGATTACCAGCATGATAAAAAGAGCGCGAGCTTCCTCTCTTGCTTGTGGAATAGTTGGCATGGTTGCCTTGCAGCTGTTACCTTGAGCCTTTGAGCAACTCGTCACAGCACCGTCCAGGTCAGATAGATCGCTGAGGCGTGGAACGAGTGGGTTGGTGCTTGCGAAGCAAGTTCATCAGCCTCCACGTTTACGCCATAATTCGCAGCATGCGCTCACCACTTCTTACACTTCTTGTCTTGACAGCATGCAACTACAGTACTAAGTCTCCGTCTGAATGCTGGTGTGTATTGACAAGTGCTGGAGGTGATGTGAACGCGTGGAGAGTGTGTCATTGCAGTGTTGGCAGGCGCCCACTTCAACTCGGCCCGCTCGCGAGATGACAGCCGCTTGCCAATCCTTGGTTTAGGGCTTTCAAGGCTGACGATTCTCGCTGTTTTCTGTGGTTTTCTGGACTTGCTGAAGTGAAAAGGCCCTTGAGTGTTTTAGCAGCTGCTTCTGCAAACCCAGTGGCCAGCAGCTTACGCCTAAACCCTGCAAGCTTCACAGACCCTAAACTGAAGATGTGATAAGTATAGACAACAGAAACATTCCAGAACAACTTTTCTTACAGTTTCCGATATGATTTCAATACGCGCTGTAGACACACCGGCTGAGTCGATGTAGCAGGCAGATACGCTTTTTGATATATCTACATGGGTTCACATGTCGGTGTCTTTTGTTGGTGTGCAGTGAACGCATTCCCCTCCGCATCTTCTGGCAGCTTCAGGATCTTGCGTCGTATATATACATCCGGCAAGTGCAGCAGAGTTCAATCATGCCAAAGTCAAGACGTGCAAATTACGCAATGACACGGAAGCGTGCTCGGTCTGCTGATTCTCAGGGCCAGCTGGCGCAGAGTAGAGCCGTAAAAGGACCAAGGCATCGAGGCATGCATTGCATCTTCAAACTGGCTGGGTCTTCCAGTCCGGTGCGGCTCCGATTTCACCGGGACAGTCACACCCGGCCCGACCTCTCCCGGATTCCGCCCGACCTGGTCCGGATTCCTATTGAAAATCGTATCGCCACAACGGACCACTGCCGGATTCGTACCGGAAATCATCTCGGATCAACAGACCACTCCGGGTTCGTACTGCAAGTCGTATCGTCCCAACGCGCTCCCCAGGAAATCGTATCGAAAATCGTATCGCCAAATCGTATCCGTGGAAGACTACAAACAAAGCAAATGAGGGCTTCTCCCACTGCCCCAACCCCCAAACCCTTGTCCTCACCCCCCCGCCCACATCACCACCCCAACACTACTCGGTAGCAAGCACGCGCAAATGCAGCCAACTCTTGCTTTTGAATGCAGATGCCTGCACACTGCAGACAGATCCCCACAAAAATCCTGCTTTGAGCCCATACCCCCTTCCGCAGAAGAGGTCTTCAAAGTTCCTCATAGCTGCGACATGCGCGATAGGTATAGTTTCGTCGAAGACTCATCCACTCAGCCACGCCAGGGCCGCTGTACCTTGGCAGGGTGGGCGGGCGGGCGAAAAAGGCTGCTCGCAGCAGGCCGTGAAGCCTGGTCAAAACACTACAACAACCAGGCTGACACGCATGTAGCAACCATGTAGTGTTCGGAGCATGCACTCGAGGTGTCAATCGTATTTCCATTCGCATTGTATCCATCAACCATATCAATAAGTGTATACAAATCGTAAATAAATGAAATCCTGCTTCTGGGCTTCTCTAGGTTGTTCCCTTCTTACCTTAAACCTAAACGGCCACTTGGGGGGGCTCCGGAAATTTGTAGGAAGTTGAAGTTTCGGGACCTGGGTTACGCGTACAAAAGGCGCCCGAGAGGGTCCCCAAAAGTGCCAACACTTTCAGACGAGGCAGACCTGACTTGCCGAGCAGTTACAAGCTCACCGATTATGTCTTCAGATGACCACACATGCGTATCCGGACTGTGCCATTACCAGGAATGCCAGTAAAGCACTGCAGCAAGTTCTGCAAGTCTTAAGACCCGACGAGAAACCTTCAACTTCGAAACGCCGCTCTCGGACATGAGAAGCGCTATTCCTGGCTGCAACTAGCCGACACCAAAAAGCTGTAGTGAACAAACCGACTTTTTTAAGGATTTGGTAGCCCAGCAGGAACATGTTCTGGTCGGTCGAACCCCCTCAACTCTTCAACTTACACATGTCGACCTGCGAAACCAGGCAGCTGAATCTGTGTGCTCTCCCCCCCCCGACAGAAAAATAAGCGGTCCGAACGGAATTTGGCAGCTTGCGGAGCCATGCATGAACATGCTTGCAAGAGTCACGCTGACACAAGGGACAGCAGACAGCCGCGCTACAAGATGCCGCCGGCGCATCCGCAGAGCTTCAGCAGCAAGTGGAAAACCTGAAAGCCGAAGCCGCGCAGGCAGCCGAGAGTATTTGGAGTAGCCATGGAGGAGGAATGAAGTGGGACAAAAGCGAGGAAGATGCAAGCTCGAAGCATTGATCTGCGATGGCTTTGGCAGGTGCCGGACTTGCGCAGCAAACTTGCCGAGTTTGAGGCCTGCACCATCGTTGCCACACGTCATGCTGCAACACAGCTGACACAGCATGAACAGAGCTCTCTCTTTGGTTGAAACGTGAAGGCCAGGCAGGAGTCTGCCAGCCACGAAGTCGAAAGACTCACTGCGGAAGCAGCGGAGGTGCCCTCTTGCAATCCATAATACATGACTGCGCCAGGGACAGTGATTGCAAGACTGGTCGCGAGAGCCAGACATCATACCCATCTGAAGTTGAGCAGCAGCGCGTCAAGCTCAGCGCCCATAGTCTGAGGTGTCAGCACTGAAGGCACAGATCGCTGAAATGGAGGCCCGCAGCTAGCTGGTTGTCATGCTCACTCTTCTTGGCCATCATTCGGCTTGAGAAGGATTCGCAAGGTGATGATGCAACTTGTTGGTTCCAACCAGGTGCAGCGCGCGGCTGCAGTCCAGGACGCTGCTGGCGCATCGCTAAAAACCGAGGCTGCGCAGGCAGGAGGGGAGTCATGGAATCGTTGGCGAAGCAGCAGCTGTTCATTAGCAGCGACGTCACAATCATGTAAGGGGTTGTACTGGTCCTGCTCCAGGTGCCAGAGTTGCAGGGCAAGCTTGTGGAACTGTTTTAAGTTTGGGGCTCGAACTCAACGGTAGTTGAGGGATTCTGGAGCTCTGCCACATAGCCAAAGCTCGCGATGAACCCAAGCCCGCAGCCCGGAAACCCAAATTCCTCAACCGAGCCTCGCTGGAGCCGAATAACGATCATGCTTTCGCTCTGTGTGCTGGTAGGATGAGCGAAAGTTCCAGATGTCAGCGTCCACCAAAGCCTTCTAGCCGGGCCCTTAAAATGAAGGTGCTTACTGCCGGCGCCATTCCTGTAGTTCATGAGGCCGAGATCATAACCGAAATAGCGGATTGACTTGTGTGCCCAGTCCCAACCAGCAAAGCATCGAAGAGAAGATCAGAAGCGCCGTTAAAGCTGCGCACCAGCGTGCGAAGCAAGAGCGGGGCGAATTGGCAGCACCTCCACGAGGCCAGAAAAGTAACTCCCTGTCAAACGTTACACTGTTTGCGCACACTTGTTCAATCTTCTCTCAAGGACACGACCAGTGGGTGAATCCAAATGCCGCCTGGGGATCTGGCTATGACCAGACCGGCTACAGTTGGGCACAAGCCTACCATCCAGCTTACACCCAAGCACCTGCGTACGACGAGTTCTACGCCCCGTCGTGGAACAACCAGATGGGCTATGCGCAGGCAGGCGTTCCATCGTGAAGGTCTGAATTGTCTGCCATGATATGCCGTGATGAGCTGTCAGGGACAACATTGGCAGAACTGCTGCGCGACTGCCGAAGGAGCTTGCTTAACTTGCATGCTTGTGGTGGACAAGCTTCATATTGACTAGGCAGGGATTTCAAATTTTGAGGAGCAAGCGCTGCCTGTGGCGGGGATTGCTACAACTACTACGGCGGAAACTATTCTGGCTATGGCGGCTTGTTGCAAATATGTGCAACTCGAGCCCGTTGCCCTCGGCTATGCCTCAGGTCATCAGGTTCCGATTCAGCACGCAGCGTATTCCAGAAATGTGTAGTTCAGTATGTTTAGTCACACGTCCATCATGATTCTGGAAGATTTGAACCAGACTAAGCCTCTCACGAAGGCCAGGCCCATTGGCAAAACGCAGCATGGGGCGCGTACAACGAGTTCTACGCCCCGTCGTGGAACAACCAGATGGGCTATGCGCAGGCAGGCGTTCCATCGTGAAGGTCTGAATGGTCTGCCATGATATGCCGTGATGAGCTGTCAGGGACAACATTGGCAGAACTGCTGCGCGACTGCCGAAGGAGCTTGCTTAACTTGCATGCTTGTGGTGGACAAGCTTCATATTGACTAGGCAGGGATTTCAAATTTTGAGGAGCAAGCGCTGCCTATGGCGGAGATTGCTACAACTACTACGGCGGAAACTGTTCTGGCCATGGCGGCTTGTTGCAAATATGTGCAACTCGAGCCCGTTGCCCTCGGCTATGCCTCAGGTCATCAGGTTCCGATTCAGCACGCAGCGTATCCTCTCTCTCCTCTCAATCTGGGGGGCCTATCGACTCCCTGAGTGTCACCCGTCCGAGGATAGTGTGGCATCGTAGCGCTCGTAGCGCTTGCGAAAGCAAGTTTGTGGGCATCTGCGGAGCCAAGTGCTAGAAGCGCAGAAGACGCCTAATCAAGTTCATCTGAATCTGCTCCGAGATGTGCCCGCGAGTTGCCGGTGCGGCCGCAGCCAGTGCCATGTGGAGCAGAATCCGGCGGCGGTTGGAGCCTTGTTCGTGGCAGTTTCGAGAGGGCTTGGGGGCTCCAGTGAATCGAACCCGAACCCAGCGCTCTCAGCCCCAAGTCCCGACTCCGAACTCGAGCTTGGACCCGAAGCCTCCAATCCTCCTGGGGAACCTTTTCAAGCACTTTGAGGGAGGGACCCTTTGGCCATGGCCAATAGCGGCATAGAGCAGCATTTCAAGATCCATGGCCTCTAATGCCTCGATGCTGGAGTTTTTGTGAAGATTTTGGATCCTTTCATGTTTCAGCTGTCCACCCCGGTCGAGAGGCCTGGAGATGCTGAAGTTGTCCTCATGGCCTTATAAACTAAGATCCGAGTTTGTGGGATGTCCTCTGAGCTCCCAGAGACATGGCATTGTGTGCAGACAATAATTTTTAGCATTAAGAGATCACTGAGATCGGCATTGGTCGCATCGGTGGATTTACGCTGAGCTTTTGGATGCAGCATGCGCCATGTCAGCAGCCAAACTGGAGAAGAACATCGCGAACCTGGAGCGGCGACTGCGCCAGGAGTTTAGCTCAGAGCTGGATGCGAAGCTCCAGTTGTGCCGTGGCTGGTCGCGGGAGGGTCAGCGGTTCCTTGCTACTTGTGCCCGTTCCATGTACATGTTTGCGGAGTGCTGAAGACAGCGCACAAAGCTTGCCGTGCTTCCGCTGGACTCCGGCACACAACACCTTTCCAGCGAGTCGTAGAGTCGTAGATGTTGAAACCCGCTTGTTGCTGCTTTGTGGCACGCAGGTGCCTGTCCAGATTGGCCGCTCTGGAACATCGACTCGAAGTCCAGCTGGCTCAGGGCGGAGGAAAAAGTGGCACTGCAGCGATTGCGGGGCCCCCGCCCCCCTTCCGGGTAAATCTGGAGGACTGGCCTTCAAAGCCCCCTTCGCTCGGACATGGCCCGCCGCAAAGGGCGAAAGGAGACACGGAGGGTCCAGATCCCTCTGCCCCGCTGGAAGAGACGATGGACCCGGTTCCTTTCCTTGAGACCACCTGGAACCTGGTGCTGGTCGCAGGTCATGCGAGTGTCGGTTGGATTGACTTGGTGATTGCCTGGTTGCTTCTGATTGCCAGCGCAGGGATGCAGATGGCCTTCTGTGTGATCCTGCTTACGCCATCCTTCCTGGGGGATCCCTTCGATGAAGCTCAAGTGATTGTAGCAGAGGAGTGGAGGAACAGCGCAGCACAGGACTGGAAGTACATGGACCTTGCCAAGACAAGCCTGACAGCCCGTGTTTGCAACAACGACGGGGGCTTGATCCTCTCAAACACCCAGGCCCGGATTATTGGAGCCTTTCTCCGGCGTCAGCTCTAGCTTTCCCCAAACAGCTTCGCCCCAAAAGCGCGGCAGGCAGGCTTGGTGCAGGACATCAACAACTTCCTCGGCCTTGGTGCCGACAAGTTTGAGACCGAGGGCTTCCGACCCGGCATCCTGCTCTCGATTCTCTGTATCTTCCTGTGGCCCCTCGGCGACGGCATCACAGGGTTTGTCATAGGTAGCTTCGGGCTTCGCTTCGTTTTTGCCTGGTGCCACATCCTAGTCACTAGTCCTAGCCGTCCTAGCCCTCTTCTTACTCGTAGCTGTCGTAGCTTCTTGGGATCCGAGTCCGAGGTGCCTCTACGTCGGCAATGAGCTCCGCAGCATCGGGCTCTCCTTAGAGGCAGTGGTGCAAATCCCTCGCGCCGAGAGGACGAGATCTCATCAGGGACGGTTTCTTCGAATGTCCCACGTGCGATTCTGGTCCTACTGCGGGCTTCGCCTGCTCAGGGCCCTCATTGCTTTGGCCCTGCTCTACGCTGGCATCCTCTGGCTCGCTGGCACCACCTCCATCGAAGACCTGATCCTGAACGCGGTGGCCGGGGCCCCCGGCTTAAGCGCACGCGCGCCAGCCTGCGCGCGCTGTCTGCGCTGTTTCCCTGCTTGCTGTTTGCTGTTTGCTGTTGTGTCCCCTCTTTTTTGTCTGTTGCGCAGACAACCGACGAACGAAGAAGAGAGAGTCTGGCTCCCAAGACAGGCCTTGGGTGCCATCCTCCAGGTTGACGAGATGATCTTTGCTGCCTTGATGCCCAAGAAGCTGCAGCTGAAGATCCAGGATCTAGAGGCCATCAAGGTTCATTACAGCCGCCGCCGGAGTCAGGCAGAGTCGCTTCTCACTTTGCTTCTGATGGCAGCGCTGCTTTGCTGGCCTTGGTTCAGCCTTTTGGAGCCGCTCAGCCGCACCATGGAGGCAGTGAAGAAGGCCTACTGCGCAGGGAACCAAGACTTCGTGGTCGCCCTCAACGAAGCTCCTGGGTCTCGACTTCATGCGCTTACGTACAGTCGATTATAAGGGCCTGTTGTGCTGCGCAGTGGCGCTTGTAGTAGGACACTAGGAGTGGGCATAGGAATAGGAATAGGAGGAGGAGGAGGATTGCGGAGCAGGAGCAGGAGCAGGAGGAGGAGCAGGAAGAGGGGTACGCTTCGCTCAACTTAGTTTTCGCTTCCATTCCCCTGATTGCGAATTTGCTTTTGGTTTTGGAGGACCTCCAGCTCACTGTCGGCTTCCCTACTGTGGCCTTTGCAGACGTCGGAGGAAAAACTTTAAGCCAGCGAGCTGTTGAGGAGTTTCATGTGAAAGATGGGGAGCCAGCGAAGTACATTCTCATGCAGCCAGACCTCCAACGCTTCCAGCAACAGCGGATGCTGAGACTAAAGGAGGCTGCAGAGGACATCAGCTCCTGGTGTGAAGACTTCGACCAGTTTTTCCTACCAGGCAACACACCTCCGGGCTTGGTGGGTTACTATGCTCCGTACTGGCACTCGGCTTTGGCTGGTCAAGGTTTACCCGAAAACACCTCGTGTGAGGCCATGGCCCATCTCTGCGACGTGGCTTCTGGCTCACTGGTGCGCTTTGTATGCGGAAAGACCTGCTGCTCAGGCGAGGTCGGTAATAGCTGGTACAAAACCACAGCCTCAGGCTGTCCCCTGAGATGTGTGGAAGAGTCTGACAAGAATCCTGCACGTTCCTGTGTGGATATACAAACCAACGCAACTCCTGCCTGGGATGCCTTCTGGGATGCTTATCCGAGCGCGATTGAGAACGACACCGGCCAGTCTCTCTTCAGCAGCACTGTGGGCGATCGTACTGTGGGCGCTCTAATCGCAGAAATGACGCAGGAAATGAAGGCGCAGGGCTGTCCTGCCTTGAAGAACAGCCGCTGGAACCGCGAAGTTGTGAGAAATGTGAGATGGTGCGCTGGCTACGAGCCGCTCTTTGCACCCCTGGCCCGTCTCTGTCCGGAGAGCTGCGGATGCGCCAATCTGACCGAGTCCGGGGATGCGCCTAGCGGCTGCCCAGGCTTTTGCAACCAGGTTTGTGAGGACGCGACCTTCCCCAGATTCGGGGACGTCGCTACCTGCGCGGATGGAGAGGCACTTGGCTGGTGCGCCGATGCGGCCTTTGGATCCCTTTGCTGGAAAACCTGCACCGGCTGTACCTGATTGCCTTGGTGAGCTCGCAAAAACAACCGGGGAGGGCTTGCTTTTACGCTTCTTCTTGCAGGGGAGGCCCAGGAAGGCAGGGCCTTTCTCTGCACTGTCTTCGTCGTGCAGTGACCGAAACTGCCGATGAAGATTGGGTTTGGACGTGCTTTGGCGCTGCAGTTTGGTGCCTTTGGGAGTTCGGGTGTGTTGTTAAAAGGGTTCTATCCAGGGGAACCGGAGAGACTGAAGAAGTAGTGTTGCAACTCGGGCTTCAGTATCGTTGTCCGTCCCCTGTTCTGATTGAGGCTGGCAGTTTGCTTTGAGATTTGGGCCCTTAGTTGATGGCGCTGGCACGGCAATTCTGTGCATGCGGCTGATGATGATCGCACACCCAAACATGCATGTAGTCAAAATCAGGGTCATGAGGACAACCACGTAGAGATGAGGCAGATGCCTGGACCCGGAAGGAATGGTACCAATGATGATGGTAGGATGATAGGAGCATGCTGGCTATGACACGGATTCCAACTTTGATGATGAAGATAATGATGATGAAGATGATGATGATGATGATGATGAGGATGATGATGAGGATTTTGATCACGATGATAGTGGTGACTCTAACAGAAACGAAGATGACAAGACTGTGCTGCAATGACAAAATTCCGATGCTGAGGATTATGATTTTGATAACGACGACGATGGTGATGGCGGCGGCTGCGGTGGTGGCGTGGCAGCGGTGACGACAATGATGGTGACGATGCTGATGAAGCTGATGGCGGTGTTGGTGATGATGGTGTAAGATATGATGCGAATGGGACTTGAAACGCAGAAGTGAGAAATAAAAGGTTGCATGGCGTTGAGCTTACAAAGCCAAGCACTAGCCGTTTGCCGGCTTGCACAGCCTCTGTTGTCGTTTGTGACCAGGTTTTCTGAGCAGGCTTTCAGTTCCCTCGAAAAGGCAGAGAGATAGGACTTGCATCAGGGACTGCGTGGATGTTTGGTTTAGGTGAACAAGTGCCATGAAGACGGATTGCTGATATACAAAGTCGCCGTCCTCTTCGACGCCATGGCGGCGCCTTTTCGATATTTGCTGCTGTTTACCGGCTTCTCCGCTTGTGCTCAGTTTGATTCAGGCACCTGGGATGCAAGTTGTCTCTTTGACGACGACGTTTTGACTATGATTGTCCTGGTCTTCGTGCGAATTTAGCGCAGAGCTGAGGCCGTCGCCACTTTTCCAGGGTGCACCGACCAAAAACCGTGCTGTTGTCTTGAGTCTCGAACTTCATTCACCATGCACGATTTAAGGCTCGTCTCCCACAGAACAACACATCCTGTCGTCGCCGGGATTCGCCAGGGCTAAAGCACGTCCGTTCAACTTCACCTTCGATCGGCCTGCCTGAGCATGCACGGCAGCAGTCGGCTGCGGGCATCCCTCGGCATAGTACACGGTTTCGGGTTTAGAGTTTAGGGAGTTTGCCTTGGCATCTTCGGCAGTTGTTCGTACAGTCCCGCAGTTGCCCCGCATGTTTTTGCGCTCGATGCCCGACGCTCAAGATTGAAGTCTACGAAATCCGACATGTCACCCAGGTGCGCTTGCGGCATTCGTGGACTTCCTGCATAAGACTCTCGGTTTCAGCACAGAGGATATCGGCTACATCAATGCGATGGTGGCTCGGCTTCAGTCGGGATCATCGAGGGAATCTTAAGGCGTAAGGGCTCGGCATCGGTTTGGGAATGAAGCTGTAAGATAGGAAGAGGGTGCCCTGTCGACTGGAAGCCTCTTTGCAAGCCACGAGTGCGAAAGCTGAGCTCCTGAGACTTTGAACGCTCCGCGCACTCGTGGTTCTATCCGAGGAGTACGTTCTCCTACCCATCGCCTCCCCGTTGATTCCTTGCCTCCTGAAGTGCCTGAAAGTGAAGATCGTTCTCCTGGTCTGTCTGGCGCCGCCCTCAGCACCTGGCAGACACCTCGCCCAATCCAGGATCCTCCCAGCATCTCCCAGCCTTCGGATGCGGAGGGTGCTTTGATTGCTCTGCGATGTCGCACGGAGTCGACTTTTGCATCCCGAGGTCGGCAACATGCTCGGGGTCTTTGGCCTGGTGATGGGCCCGAAGATGCACGAGTCCGGCGATTCCGCCTTCACTCTCTTTGTTGTTTCGCGGCTTCTTGGATTCATTTTGAGACGCCGTCGCTGGGATGGGGGGAGCTGGGCGTCTAAGGGCTATCTCCGGGATCTGCCACGCCGGGATCGCCGTGTACGGCAGCGTCTGGGTGGATCTGCATGCGCCGAAGGATCAGGCGGCCTCCTGGCTTGGGGCCATGCAGGCCCTTCCCGCCGCAGCCACTTGAAAACGCGCATCCTCTAGAAACCTTCGAAACCCAGCAACACCGCGCAGGCCAGCTCCCTAGTGGGCCTCGTCGTCGGCTACACCGTCGCAGGCACGGGTCCGGACTTCTTCTGTGAAAAAAAGAGTCGTCTCTCGAAGGAATTCTCCCCAGCATTGCTTTTGAAGGCTACTCGGAGGACTGGGTGACGGTCTTCTGCGTGAACCTGGCCTGGTTTGCGGCAACGTTTGCCTGCCTCGCGTTCGCTGCCTCGGAGTTCATCGGCAGCGCCACAGTCACTTCGGGACGATCCGGCTCTCAGGTGCGGCTCTCCTTCGTGTCGGTCCCGTCCGGAAGCTTCGTGGACCAAGCGGACTGGGCAGACGCAAGGGAAGGGGAAGTTGAGCTGACGGAGGAACCAGTCGGCCTGATGTCCACGCACCGTCCTGCCGCCAGCGAGCAGAACGTTCAGAACCTTCCGGTCTATGCCTTGATGGCCTTCTGCGTCTCCTCGCTGTTCTTCGTGTCTGGCGGCCTGCAGTTCTGGGCGACGCCCTACATGGAACAGATCCGGCTCAAGGAGCTGGAGGGCGGCCCTGGCGGCTTCGGCGCTGGCGCTGGGGTGGAAGGCTGCGCCCAGGTGCACAGCCTCGTGGTCACCCTGGTGGCCGTGATCACTTTGACGGCTCCAACCTTCGGGGTCTTCTTGGGAGGAGGGGCCGTCGACAGCATCGGGGGCTACAAGGGAGCGGCCGGAAGGTCCACGCTGAAGCTGCTCGCCACAGGCACAAGCCACAAGCCCCCCCCCCCCCCCCCCGCAGACAGACTAGGCTGCCCTAAGCCCTAAGCCCTGAGCGTCGCTGAGACAGGTGCTCTTCTGGCCATGGTCTTTGGCGTCACGGCCTGCTTCTCGACGAACTTCTGGCTGGCAGTGTCCACCTTTTGGGTCTTCAACATGCTGGGTGCCGCGCTGCTGCCCGGGGCCTTTGGCTTGATGCTGGCTTCGGTGCGGTCCGAGAAGACCTCGGCTGCATCAGCCATCGCCCAGATCCCGATCAACCTTCTGGGTATGGCCGGAGGACATTGAAGCACAGCGTCGTACTCGTAGGTCGGTGCGGGTGTGTTCTGTGCTGGGTTGCTGGACTCGGACACGTGGCAGTTCCGTGCTCCGAAACAGCAGTTGAAGCAGGAGCTTACATCCCCGGATGGCTCACGGGCTGCAAAGAGGACGCTTCCCATGGGGGTGGCGCAGGTCCCAGCTGCGATGCAGGCAGAACTCGCACTGCCAAGAGACACGGGGTCAGAGAGGCTTTGAGTCGGTGAAGGGGTCTGCGGTTTTGTCGTAGTCTCATTTGACTCATTTCCGTTCCCTTCTCAGACTGCGACTATGCCTTGGGGCTGCGGTCGCTCCTTCTGGGCACCTCGGCCTCAGAGGGCAACCGCACAGCGGCAGTTGCTGTACTGTACTAAAGAGCTCGCTGAGGCCCCGTCTTCGGCTTCCTCTGTCTCATCCTCTCTCTCCTCCTCTACCGCAGCCCAAGCGAGAGCGAAGAGCGGCCCGGCTTACCGACTCGCCCCGGCTCTCCTCTTCTCTCGCAAATCTCCCAGCCAAGGACAGACAACCAAGAGCTTACTCTGCAAGCTCCCCGACGCCGCCTGGTTCTGCTTCAGAGCTCATGGGGGCTGGCACATATGTGAAAGAGCAACAGCCCCGCGATTTGAGAGCCGCCGCTCTGGCTCAAGCTCCGCTGAGCAGCCGCCTCCGCCGCGGCCATGACCTCGGCGGGCGCTCGACTGGCCGCTCTGGCTTACACAAGTGCAGGCTGGATCACCTTGAGGCCGTGCCCGCCTTTCTTGGCCGGGATGTTCATGGGGAGGCTGCGGCTAAGTCGAAGCCCACTCGCGGCGATGGTTTCAGGTATCTGGACCGACGAGAGAAGCGCGGAGCTGCGCAAGTTGCTTCGTGCAGCACCTGGCTTCCCGGCTTCGCCAACTCTTCGAGCTCATGGCTTTGCCACTCAATCATTTGCAACGGCATACTTGTCTGAGCAACCGAGGACGAAGAACTTGCTTTTTCTGCCGCCGTCGGGTTTCTGGGCCGATGACGACTGGTACGACCTGCAGATGGCGCGGCGCTTGCCCCTCTGCCAAGACTGCTTGCGATACTTGGCTTGGTCTAGGTCTAGCATCGGGGCCTCCTTAGAAGCAAACGTGCATAAAGGCGAGTTCGTGTTTGCCTTGCCGCCGCTCTCTGGAAAGTGTGTCGTGGACTTGGGTGCTGGAACCGGGCGGTCCGCGGCAGCGGTAGCTGCAGCATATCCCCGGGCGCACTTCACGCTCATCGACCCTGACGAGGCCACGCTGACACACTGCAACAGTCTGTCAATAGCATGTATCACAGCCAGTGGCATGTATCACCTCAGATGCGTGTGTGCAAGATGTTGCACACAAGGGTCGCCTGAGAACGGCACTGATCAAGCTGCGCCGGGCGGCGGAGGCTTCGGCAGTGTCGTCGTCGGAGGCAGAGTGTTGCACAAGTGTCTCAACTGCGACATCAGAGGGCTGACAAGACCGTTGGTTGGGTTTGGAGGTGCCGGAAGCGCACCTCGTTGTTGCGGCAGTGTGTTGTGGAGAGCCGCTGCCGGGTCTTCCAGAAGGCCGGGTTTAGGGTCCACGACAAAGGCGTCCCCCCAGAGCTTCTTTTACGAATGTTCCTCCGGTGGCCAGCGAGGCGCGGTTTTCTGTTGTCCTGTTCTTTGCTCGCAGGCGCTGTGGGCTACGACTGCGTGCTCGCGCTCCAAGCCGTTCGGCACATCGTCGCCCCTGCGGCCCATTACGCCGAGAAGCACGGGCTTGCGACGGCCGCAGGCGCGCAGGCTCGCATTCCTCTCGATTTGGGGTTTGTGGCAGTGGCCCTTGAGGACCCGAGCAGATCCGCGAGGGTTACGCCAAAGTCTTCCAGGGGATCTATTCGAGTCTGGTGCCTGGTGGCCATGTTTTTCTGGGTGACCGTGTCTCCCACGGCCACCCCGGCGTCTACGAGCACTGCAGGCTGCTGGAAAATGCTGGTTTCTTCGAGATTGATATCGCCTGGAGGCAAGACGATTGGTTCGTCATCGGCGCTCGCCGCCCCATTTGAGAGGTGTTCCTTGGCGTCTCTTTGGGGCGTCTCTTTGGCGAGTCTGAAGGCCTTGCTGTGCTGTGGCGCGCACCGGGTACACATGAGACTCATGTGTACCCGGAGATCTGCTTCAGCAGCCGGACAGCGCCTCGCAGAGCCTGCAGCCGGCTGCGACAGAAGACAGCGCCTCGCTCGAGAAGACAACCACCTTGAGATCGCCGCAGACGGGGCGGAAGTCTCCGCCGCCGATCGCCCGAGAGACGTGCGTGCAGGGCATAGCCAAAAAAGAAGGGAAGAGACCGGAAGGAAGAGACGCGCAGAAGGGATCCGTTGATCGAGAAGTGTACCAAAAGCAGTGATCACAAATGACCGCCCCTCCGCTTGTTGAGGAACTAGGGCCCACACTGCCAACACCGTGGTGCTCGGAATCATCGACCAGCTCGACGGCAGCGGCCCGAGAGCTGTCGAGCAGCATCTGTGTCTTGTCTTTTGAGCCGCATCTCCTTCGGAGTCTCTTTCGGAGTCTTCGACGCTTCGGGCTCGGGGCGCGAAAAAAGCAGGCAAAGCGGGCACCATGGTGCTGCGGATGGACGAGGATGCTTGGTCAGCGTGAACCGGAGGGTCACATTTTGAAGTCAGGTTCGTTGCGGTACGGCGGTACGGTCCTGCAACTACTCGAAGCATGCCTTGCAAATTTCTAGTTAGATCAGCCACAGGAGGTGTCGTTGGCGAAGTTGCTGGCGCGCGCGGCTGCAGCTCGGCACCGGTACTCCCCCACTCATCTGGGTCCCTTCCTTTCCTCCGGTGTCCGCCACCAGCGACCAGCTTGTATCGGCGTGAGCAGAAGGTGAAGCCAAGTCTGAGGAATGCACCGGCAATGCGACCCGACGCCTCTTTGCAGAGGATCCCCGCGCTACACACACACACACACAGAGATACACACAGATACACACATGACATGTGGCCAACAGCGCATCGAAGCTGGAAGGATGGCCAGGAGATTCTGAGCATCCAAGACGTGCGGAATGTCCATGCCAAGAACTTGGCAGACAGCAAGAAGGCGCCACGGCAACAGCCGCAGATGTTCATTCACGGAGGGAGGCCCCAGGCCCCTCCCTGGCTCCGGAAAGTGCACTGTACACATCCTATACACATCCTGCTATGTAGCGGTCGTGCCGGCGCGGAAGTGACTTAGGAGGAGGGAGTTGGGGCTTGCAGGGGGGGCGCACGGCCGCGGGCCAGGCAAAGCCGAGCATCGAGAATCCGGCTATGAGTATCGACTTGGAGTTGGTCAGCACGGACGGCAGCAACTTCAAGTGGAAGTCGCGGGGTTCAATGTGGGTTCGCAGCACGTTAGAGAACGAGTGACGTCTAGCCGAGGTGGGGCAGCAACCACGCACATTATAAATTCGGAGATCTTCTCATCCGCCCAGACCCCAGACGCCAGGGCTCGGCTGCTCAGGCTCAGGCTGTGCCCCCTGCTGGAAAGCCGAAGGTCCTTTGTGGCGAACCTTGGCTGGCTCGCGTGCTGCAAGGCGCGGCCCCCCCCCCACACAGAAGGGACGACGGGACCCGCCCCCGACCGTTCGCCAGGTCTGTGGTGCATCCTCCGCAGCCGTCGCTCGCCAGCAAAGGGCTTTCTCTCCCCGTCCCTCTTGTCTCTTGCACAGACACACAGACACAGCTTTCGCTAGCTTTCGTGGTTTCCAGCTTTGACCGAAAGCTTTGTCTGACGAGAGATGAGAGGAAGACGCTCCCCACAACGGGGAATTTGAAAGACTGCACCTCGGCCCGCACCGCACCGTCGGCTCCGCGTGTCCTGTCATCTCCGTCTCTGCGGCCGTGCAGCTGAGGCCTCCCGGACCTTTGGATCCAATGCTTTCCGCTGGTAGAAAAGCGCGGCTCCAAGAGTCTGAGACATTGAGAAGCCTGAGAAGCCTGGGCCTGGGCGCGGCCTGGCGCAGGTACGGGCCTCTCGTGAAGCTGCGCATCTTCGATGATGTGGTCTATGCCCCACCCTCGGCCCCTGATGCTTCTCACATCTGACCGTCGTTGATTGCGTGTGATTTGGGGAGCTGCTTGGTCATGGTAGGTCGTTGCGGATCCGGAGATCGTGGACATCGTGAACCAAATCCCCGACAAGCGGCTTCCCAGAGAGGCCGGAGCTGGGCCGCGGGCGTGGCCGCTCTGTGTGGGCCCCGGCCCCTGCTATGCTGCTCGCTGCGAGGTCTTCGGCTGCCCGGCTCTGGCAGGGCAGGGCGTCTTCATCGCCGACGGCCAGCGCTGGGAGCCGAAAGCCCAGAGGAGCTCAGCTTTCAAAGTGTCGACATGCCCGGCACCTTCGGCCCAGGTTCGCGCGCCAGACCTTTCAGGCGCTCTGGGGCGCTTTGTCGGGTCCCCTGCCCCGTTTTCTCGCTGGCCCTCGGCAACTCGGCAGGCGCAGCTGACGCCGGAGGCCATTGACAATCTGGTGCCCATCTTCGCCATGCGCGGCACGAAACTGAAGGACCTTTACACTTTACACTCTTCCGCAGAGGCTGCAAAGGCTGCAGATGCGGGTGGCTGCCAGGAGAAGATCAGTACGACCACGGAAACCGTGGACATTTTCGAGCCTCAGCAAGGCTAGAGTTCCGCAAGTGGAAACCTGATGCCCCCCGCATGCCCTGTGCTTGTCTCGCGACATCTTGCGACCAAGAACTGGATCGAGCGAACCACCATGGACACCATTTGCGACGTCGGGTTTGGGCACGATCTGCAATGCATGGAGTCAGAAGAATCTTGGACATCTTTGCAAGGCTTTGCCTCTGCGACCACAACTCGAGAACCTTCTCGCAGATGGCAATTGAATATAAGGACATGCCGGAGCTGCTCCCGCTCTTCGAAGAAGTGCTGGAAGTCAGCGGATAGCCAAGCATTCCAGCATTGCAAGCATGCGGACAGCCTGAGAGACGCAGGGAGGTTTGAGCTTGGCTTGATGCAGGCATCAGCACCAGCCTCTACGGCGCCTTCGCAGCCGAGTTGCGTTAGTGCTGCGTTGACTAACCTCTCAAACTGGGCTGCTCTGTAGACTTGAGGATGTCTTGGGGACGCAAAGACGCTGGTTCAAGAGGCGGCGACTCATGATCTCTCACATCCGTCATGAGATGTCAGCTGCGCATTGCAAGCGGCTCACGGAGAACGTCTGAGACAGTCTGCTCTGCTCAGTCAGCTTGACAAGTTGACCGGGATGCTGGATGAAATCATCGAGGCATGCAGGCAGCGGGGATGCTTTCTCTCCTCCCGCAAGTCGCACCGAGTCGCACCTCGCCTGGCCCTGGAGGGAAGGCAAGAGCACCGGCTCCAGCAACAGCCTGCCGTGGCCTCGGCGTTTCTCCAAGCCCTGTTAGCCCGCTTGATGCATCTGGGGCTCTTCGATTCGCGGCTCTTTGAGACGGAGGCTGCATGCTCTCATCGCGGCGAAGTGTCCCCTGACCGGCCGCAGCTTCACGCAGTCGGAGCTTCAAGACCAGCTCTTGACCATGTGCCCTCCCAGCAATTCGACTGCCTTTGCAACCGCTAGCCCCGACTGTTGAAGGCTGGTCGCGGGACACAAAACGACCACTTTGCTCCTTACCTGGGCTTTATACAATATCGGCCGCAGCCCGCAAGTGGAGAAGAGCCTCTGCTGCCTTCACAGAGTCCATTTTTTAGACGCCTTCGCTGCCTTCGCTTGTTGCGTACTTGCCAGGTAGCAGCTTGGCTTTCTCGATCTAAGGAAGCTCTATGCGGAGCTGCGCCAGGTCTTTCAGGGCGATGATCGAGAGCCGACGGGAGAAGACTTGAGGACCGGGGCGGGTAGAAGAATGTTGGAGACACGGAGAGGGAAAGCGCGCAGAGTGCATCGGATTACGTAGGGCTGCGCTTGGCAGACGTTCAGCGAGGCGCTTGAAGTATCTGGACATGATCGTCCGGGAGACCCTGCGCATAAGTGCACCAGTGCAGGCTCGGGGTGGCGGCTCTTGGCAAAGCGGGACATCGGATTTTGCAAAGCGCAAAGCCCGGGAGGTGGCGCAGCGAGGGCTCACGCAGCCCGTGGAGTGCGGGAAGTACACGCTGCTCCCCGGAGGCCACTCCGGCCGAGGCGGGGAGACCGCACCGGACCCCACCTGTGCACACAGACATCAGCAGAGTCTTTGTGGCACGCTCTGCCTCTCTGGAGGGAACTCCTGGGTGGCCGGGAGCCCGGGCCGGGGTGAAGGGCGAAATCCTTTTGGCAGTCACGTCGCGGCCCTCGCAGCACTCGAGGCGATCCACATCATGGGCATCTCCATGAGCCGGGGCCTTGCGAAGGCAGCCCGGTCTCCTTTCAGCCGCTTTCCCTTTCTTAGGTAAGAAGTACTGGGGCGAGAACAGCAAGGAGTTCATTCCAGAGCGGTTTGAGCCGGCGAAGATGCGGGACTTCCATCCCTTCCAGTTCATTCCCTTTGGTGGCGGAAGGCGTCTCTGTATAGGCGGGGAAATACCCCTGCATCACAGTTAGGAGCCTATCAAGCTTCTATGAGGGTCTCCTGTCGTGAGGCAACCTCTTCGCCATCACGCAAGCCAAGACTGTGATATCTATTCTTCTCAGGCACGGCCTCGAATTCGAAGCCTTGGAAAGCTGGGGGTTCTCATCTTCCGGTCCTCTGAGTTGGGGCCAGGAAGTTCTACGTGCGCTGCTCGCTGGACAAGCCCGCCCTTCGCCTGAGGAAGTCCTGCAATCGGGGCCGTTTTGCGGGGAGTTTCGACTGACAGGTGAAGATCGACCCCAAAGACATCGCCACACCTCTCCCTGCCCACAGGCTGCCGCATGCTCGAGGGAATCTCAGAAGCTTCCTTATCAAAGCGAGTCCACCGGCAAGACAGACAGAGAGAGAGAGAGAGGGAGCGAGAGAGAGACTTTCCTTTGTCCCTGTAGAGAGAGAGAGTGTAAAGTGATTCAGAGCCTCCTGTGGCATGCTTGCAAGGATCATTCGCACTATCACAAACGCAGCCCTTTGCCGAGCAAAACAGAGTGCACGTCTTGTGCATTTTCATGGTAGCGGAGCTTCGTGCTCCAAAGCGGACCTTTGAACCAATCCGTCGGGAACAGGACCCGAAATTCCCTTTGCTACCATTAGGAGCCGCCCCTCGTGCCTGTAAGCCCGCCTTGTGCGGCATAGCTGCGACGGCGACACTTCCGTGCGGTGGCCCGAGAAGGAGCCCTACTACCACCGCAGCTGGCCGTGGATTTGGCTTGTTCTATTTCCTTGTGAGTGTTTGGGTTGCGGGAAGAGAGGAGTTTGGCTGCGCTGGCTCTGCGGATTGGATTGGATCCTTTCAGCAGGTCTTCCTAGCCGGCGGCAACGGTCTTTCAGGATTCACTTTTGAGTTTGCTGCTGGGAGAGTTGGTGCCAGGGCTTCTGGCCCCGCACCGACGTGCCGAGCGGCCCTTTCCTGGGAGATTGCCGAGGACGAGGAAGCGATGGATGCAGCGCAACAGGCTGCGATGGAGCAGCAAAGGCAGGCTGCTGATGGAGCAGCAGAGACAGGCGGCCGCAATGGAGCAGCAACGGCAGGCTGCTTTGGCCGCAGCCAATCCAGTGGAGCAGGCAGCCCGGGCCGCTGCAGAGCATGTTGCTTCTGCAGCCAGCCAGCAGAGAAGGAATGAGCAGCTTGTGCGTCTGGTTCAGAAGCCCGACATCTACAAGCCGGAGACCCGCGACCAGGAGACCGACCAGTGGGTGGATTGGCGGTTTTCTTTTGTGTCCTACCTCGGGTCGTGGACAACAAGTTTGTTGAGGAGATAGAGTGGGTCGAGGCCCAGGCCAGCACCGAGAAGGCTATGATAAACATGGACTTTGCAACGCAGGGCAGGGCGAGGGAACTGTATGCGATACTCCTCTCCTTTGTCCGGAACCGCCCTGCCAAGTTGGTTCGTGCCGTCCCGCAGCAGAACGGCTATGAAGCTTGGCGGCAGCTGATGGTGGAGATGATGCCAAGCAGTCGCCAGCGCCAATTGGCGTTGGTGACCCAACTTACGAGCACGAGGCTGGACCCGAAGCGGTCGCTGGGCGAGCAGCTGGGGAAATACGAAGAACTTATCCGTGAGTATGAGCGCGTGGCCGGGACGAAGTACGCTGAGGACCTGAAGATCAGCACGCTCGTCTCGGCGGCCCCGGCGGCGCTCCAGGCCCAGCTTCACATGTTTTTGGGCCCGGACACTACGTACCACCAGGTGCGGGACAAGATCCTCCTGTACGAGCGGTCGACGGCGAGGTGGCATTCGGGGACTGCTTTGACAATGCCCTCGTTGCACACCAGCGACGGCCCCACGCCCATGGAGATCGACCGAGTAGAGAAGGGCGGCAAGAAAGGCAAAGGGAAGAAGGGCAACAGCCCCGACGGCAAGGACAACACCAAGGGCAAGAACAGCAAAGGCAAGAAGGGCAAGGGCAAAGGCAGCGGCAAAGCTGCCCCGGAGTGCTACAGTTGTGGCAAACGCGGGCATTATGCCCGAGACTGCTGGAACCCAGCCCCGAAGGGCAAGGGCAAAGGAAAAGGTGTTCGTCAAGTGGAGCAAGGCGAAACCCAGGCCCCGGTGCCTCCGTCTTCGGCTTCTACTACAAGTTCCACGGCCACCCCTTCGGCGAGTTCAGCTGGGCACGGCTCCAAAGGAGTACGCCTAGTCCGGATGGTGACGCCTCCAACGGCCCCTATCTTGGAGGTCTATGACATGGCCAGCGACCCGGGCGAGGAGCTCACCATCGACTATGCCATCCGCGCCGTGACCGTGTTAAAGTACAAAGGGGCGATCTCCGGCCCCGGCAAGGCGGCGCTTGAGGGCGAGGAGTGCGAGATCATCCTGGACTCGGGGGCCGATGCCTCTATGATCCCTGAGTCTTTTGGCCGGCAAAGAGGAGTTGGACACGAGTGCCCCGCGCCTCACGGACGCGCAGGGCAACCAGATCGCAAGCAGCGGGGTGCGGAAGTGAGAGTTCCTTTTTTGACGGGCCAGCGCTATCTTATCCGTGAAACCTGTGTCGTGGGCCCCGTTCGGAGCCCGTTGCTTGCCATTGGGAAGCTGCTTCGCAAAGGGTGGCAGCTGAAGACGGGCGAGGGTCCGGGACAACTTCTCCTTGAGGAGCCCTTTGGGCGCAGGACCTCGGTGGGCTACAGGAACCACAGCCTGGTGGTGCGAGGCCAAGAGCACTCACAGAGATACCCCGGTCGCTTCCGGAGCAGGTGCCTGCGATCGAGTTGCCCGAGGAAGTGGCCAGTAAGCTGGGCCAGCCAGGCATGCATGTTTTGCCCAACGGCTGGCGAATGCATTTCTCCCCGGCAGCCACCACACTACTTGATGGCCGAGATTGGTACGATGCAGACTACTGGTGCTGTCGCACCACCTTTCTGCAAACTGAGCGCAATCGGTGGCTGCAGGTGGAGAACAGCGCGGACTACTCTTACGAGAACAACCCCTACGGCATGACGACGAGGAGACCAAGGCCAGACACCGTTTGACACATGTGCCTTTTGCTTCATGGTGCCCTGCTTGCGTGAAGACCCGAAGCCGCGACGACCACCACCAAAAAAACATGCACGATAATGCCGTCCCGTGGTGCAGGTAGATTTCTACTACACGAAGGTGGACCCCGGGAGCAGGCCAAACCCCGAAGCGCACCAGGAGCCCACCAACCTCATCGCTGTGGACCTTCAGACGCGCATGGTGCTGTCAGTGCCTGGCCCGGACAAGGGCCCTGGAATGCTGAGACAGGCCGCTGAGGAGCTCACCCGCTTCACGATCAGCCTCCACGGCGAAGAGACTATCACAGTGCAGTCGGATGGTGAGCCCAGCGTGAAGTCCCTTGTTCGCAGTGTGGCGGCAGCAAGGCAGAGGCTGGGCAGGCGCACCAACCAGCACAACACCCCAGTCGGTGACCATGCTGCCAATGGGGCAGCTGAGCGGGCGATCCAGACCGTGCGCCGCCTGGGGAATTGCTATGCTGAAGCCTTTGAGGACCGGGCAGGGAAGCTGAGTGTTGGCAGCCATCTTCGAATTTGGGCGCAAGGCCACGCGGCTTTCATTTACAACCGCTTCCACGTGATCCCCGGCATCAACAATACACCGTTCGAATTGGCTTTTGGTGGGAAAGTCTTTGACCAGAAGCTTTGCGAGTTCGGGGAAGTCGTCTATGGCAGGGTGCTCCGGAAATACAAGGGCGAGGCCCAATGGGTTAAGGGCATCTGGTGTGGTATCAATCCGCACAACGGGGCACACCGCCTCATGAGCACCTTTGGTCATCTGGAGTGCAGTGCAGTGCGCAGAGGAACCGCCGAGGTGCAGATGACCGCCGCCGAGATTGAGAAGGAGATGTTTGGGCTCCCGTGGGAGCACGGCATCGTTGAGAAGCGGCGGGAAGCAAAGCGGAGACAGGCCCCAGCAGCAGTCGGAGCCCCAGTGCTCACCGAGCCGATAGGGCTCGTGGCCTCACCGACACCAGCAACACCCGGAGGAGCATCCCAGGGTATCCCGGCCACTCCTGCTTTGTCGGTGGCTCCCCCGACCCCAGGTGGAGACCAGCGTCAAGCCGAAGGCCCCGGAGATGAAGCAGGAAGCGACCCGTCTAGCAGCAACAACGACAGCTCGGAGGACGAGCTTCTGGCCGTGGCAGACGCCAGCCCAAGCGGCATCAAGAGGAAGGCCGAGACAGAGGCAACGGTGGCAGCGAGACCGAGGCCAGCACCCGCAGCAGACGATCGAGGCCCAGGTGCGAAGAGGAAGCCGGAGGATGAAGCCGAACGACCCGATCGAGAGCCCACAGTTCGTCTTGTTGAGACGGTGGACGCGGAGTGGCACGACGCGGCAGAGTATGACGCGGTCTTCGTCGCCGAGGAGGATCCAGCGATGGCAGCTGGAGACGGTGGCGAGGATATGCCACCCACCATGACAGAGAGCGAGCTGGCCGAGCTGGACGAGGCGGCCGAGATAGCGGAGATAGAGCGCCTTGAGGCAATGGGCGTTTTGCTTCCCGACAATGGCGAGCCGGCAGACCACCTCTCCACGACCTTTGCCACGACTTGGAAGAAGAATGAAGATGGGTGGTTTAGGCGAGCTCGTCTGGTGGCACGCCAATATAAGTGGGCCACCCAGATGGATGATGATGAGACGTTCGCGCCAGCATCTGTAGCGGCACTGGGCCGCCTAGTTCCTTTGATGGCAATGGTGTGGAAGGTCCCCGTGTATGTGCTCGATATAAAAGATGCATATCTCACTGTTGAGCAGCCAGAGGGGGAACCTGTGGTGATTACGTCGCCGGCTTCATGGTACAAGCGCTATGGTGAGCACAAGCAGTGACGACTTGGCCGGGTCCTCCCAGGCCAAAGGAGGGGAGCTCAAGAGTGGTATGAGAAGTTCAACAAAGACTTGAAGGAGAACCAGTTGGAGCCCATGGTGGAAGTTCCCACGCTCTATCGGTCACTTGCGGGCCGGTTTGCAGCGCAGCTCCATGTGATGATATGTTGTCCGCTGGTGACACTGAGCTCAGCGGGCCCCTTCACGACAACCTCAAGGCGAAGTACACCCTCAAGATCGCTGGGCCGTTCAGCCAACCCGGGGATGAGTTTGAGTTCCTGAAGCGGCGCTACTCCATAGAGCCCGACGGCAGCATCACAGTGCGGCCGGCTCTTCGCTTCTACTACGACATATGGGAGCAGACTGGGAAGCCAAAGGTTAACAGCACGCCCGGCCCACAGGATTTGGTTTTCGGTGTGGACGAGAGCCAACCCTTGGACCCCAATAGCTCCACAGCGTTCAGGACAGTGGTTGGCAAGCTGCTCTATATCAGCAATGAGCGCCCGGACGCCCAGGTGGTCATTCAGTATTTGGCCTCAAGGGCCAGCGCCCCCACCGCGAATGCAAAGAAAGCCTTGGACCACCTGGCCGGCTACCTCTGGGCAACACAAGGCTATGGCATTAACTTACGTCCCCGCCAAGGCCAGTCAGTGATGAGGAGTGAGGCCGTCCCGGGCCGGACACTGAGGACAGCTTAGGCCAGCACTTGGTCGAGGCGGTCTCGGACTCCAACTTTGCCAACGATCGGAGCAGCAGGAAGAGCCTTAGCTCAGGCCACCTATATGTGGATGGAGCATTGGCTTTCTCGTTTGTGAGAGCCCAGAAGGTTGTGACAACGAGCTCCGGCGAGGCGGAGCTGGTGGCTCTTACGCAGACAGTTGGCGAGGCAGTGTTGCTGAGAAAGGCCCTGGCCTTCCTCGAGGGCATCCGTGACAACGACGTTGAGCTGGTGGCCAGGACGGACAGTTCTGTAGCAAGGGCCATCGCCTCACGAAGCGGTGTGGGCGGGTCAAGCACCTTGCCACTTCCTGCTTGTGGTTGCAAGGTTGGGCTGCTCGCAAGGACCATTCCCACGGAAGTGAACCCCGCGGATGTTGGCACTAAAGTTCTGGCAGCAAGACGGCTGGCTATGCTGTTGTTCATCCTGGGCATGGTTGGAGAAGATGGGGAAAGAATCGGCCAAGCCGAGCACGAGGAGCACCGGACACGCCGAGCGGTTCGAGGCCAACGTGGTGTCATGCGATTGGCCCAGATGTTAGTGGCCCTGCAACTTCAGGGCTGCACTCCGGGCGAGCAAGGAGCCGAAGAGACCTTCGATGGCATCCTGGTGAAGTGTGCCCTCTTCTTGGAGTATGTCTTCGCAATGTGTGCGGGCCACTCCGGGATCATGCTAAGTATCGCGGCCTTCGTGGTGATGGTGGGTGTGGTGTTTGCTGCCAGCAGGTGCCAGTGGACACTAAGACTTGAAGTGTCCAACAAGAAAGGGCTTGAGCCGGCCACGGCGGAGCCTTTGAGGATGAGTTTTTCCTGTGGAACCTCGAAAGGCAAAGGACGTGGACCTGCAGCAGCGAAGGCGAGCCCAAGACAGCGAGAACCACACGAAGGACAGCGAGAGCCACACGAAGGACAGCGAGAACCACACGAAGGACAGCGAGAACCAAACGAAGGACCACGAGAACCAAACGAAGGACCACGAGAACCAGACGAAGTACCACGAGAACCAGACGAAGGACCACGAGAACCAGACGAAGGACCACGTGAACCAGGTCGCCGTGCACAGAACGTTGGTGGCTTGTCACATGGTCAGTTGTCGCATGGGACAAGGATCTCAGACCGAGGGGGCGCAGTGCAGAGTGTCTTGGCAAGCAGCGCGCTTGGTGGTGGTGTAGCTCCAAGCAACAGAGATGAGGACAGGGCAGAGCAGTTCCTGGCAGGCAGTACCCCTGGACCGGCTGGTCGCCCAGACATGCCAGATGCAATGAGCAGTGGGACGCGCGCCAAGATCCAGAACTACGTGAAGGCGGCGAAGCACTCGTGATGCAAGGGACCGATAGAGTTCTGTATGCGCCAGCCAGGGGCTACGCTTTCCACATGCTCACATGCCGCAATATTCGCGGCAGTGCAAAGCAGATGCGCCAGTGCACAGTCTTGGAGGCACTAGAGCTTGGGCTGCACCCAGGCCAGTGCTGTACAGGAGGGAGGATGGAAGTGGTCTAAGACAGGCCATTTCTTCCAGAATTGCCCTGAGGGGGCGTGTAAAGTGATTCAGAGCCTCCTGTGGCATGCTTGCAAGGATCATTCGCACTATCACAAACGCAGCCCTTTGCCGAGCAAAACAGAGTGCACGTCTTGTGCATTTTCAAAAAAAAAAACAGTCGCCGAACGTCGAGCAGTAACAAACTGCGAGACGGAACACAGAGCATGCCTTCGTGGCGAGAAGAGGCCGGGGGTTCACTAGGCTTCAATTAAGGGGGGATGCTGAGCTTCCAACCCACGGCCTCAACTCGTTGAGTAAGTTCACACAGACCGAAAGACCCAGTGCGCGTGCGCGCGCCGGGAGGGCGGGGACCCGCTTTCCTCTAGCTGTGCACAAGAAGAAGAGAGAAAGAGAGAGAGAGAGAGAGAGAGAGAGAGAGAGAGAGAGAAAGAGAGAGAGAGAGACCTGTAGCCATTTTGGCTCAAGTACTGCACCCTTTGCTTGGGGACGGTTCCCCTCCTGGCATCGGTGGGAGAGACGCGGGGTTGGCCC